CAATAACATAACATCTGGCAGCTGGAGTCACCTAACGTGACCTGTACGGCTGCATATAGAGCTCAATCTCAAACTCAACAACTGAACCTGCCCACGAGTCGGAACCACTCTATGTGGTCTGTACGACAGGCCTGGGTGTAATACATATATACGCTCTAGTGCTACGATCACGTGAAGGCTGTGCGAATAATCGCGGGTCACCTACGAGTCGGAACCACCTAAAGTGGTCTGTACGACAGGCCTATGCACCTAGCTTGGATCCAAGCTGAGCGTATGGTGCGGGAGGTGAACAACACGTGAAGGACTGTGCCCTACTCTGGGCGGGAGCACTAACACCGGGGGTGCAGGTTATGAGCTCTCTAAGCATCTTTAAACACTATGTAGTGCAATCGTTAATTAACGCTTACCTGGCACTTACCTATGCCTCCACAGCACCCACACATAAATATATATGACATATTCATATGTATATGTATGCCACAATTAATGAATGCAAAGATGTATAAACGATAAACAATAAAGTGCATGGCATAAGGCAAATAACCCTTTTTAATTCAATTTCTGGGAATATAAATGTATATAGGTATATACGGAAAACAAAAGCCCACTCACTGGTATGTAGAAGGGTCGTAGCCCCCCTGTCTCGCGTGTGCACGCTCGTCCTCTGGGTACGTGTCACCTAGATGCGAAACAACTATAAAAACGTTAACTTTAAAGCACATAACCCGTTTCTCGTAATAACTTCTCATACATTGCTCAAAATGGACAAATGAATATACCAACGTGCTCTACACAACCTCAGGATCACAACCATATTTTTAAAATAATTTTTGGACCCCGCACGCGCCCCCACGCGCCAGCACAGGCACGGACCTACGCGCCCCCCACGCGCGGCCACGTGCCAGGCACACTGACGGTGTCAACAGACGCCGTCAGGAATATTCCGTCAAACTGACGGAATATTCCGTTAAATCTAACCGGATCCGTTAACGGCGTTAGGAATATTCCGTCAGTTTGACGGAATATTCCGTCGCCTTCTTCATTCGATCGCCGGCGACGTCGCCGGCGCCGGAAACTGGGAAAACCTGCAACTTAGGTTTTCTCGCTCATTTTTCATCCTTTTTTCGTGATTCTTGGACCAAAAGAAAGCCCTAGACTAGAAGAACATGTCCCAACAAGTTTTAAGGGCTAAAACTAAGAGATTATACCTGTGCAAAATCTTCAAAACCGGCCAACTTCGAACAGGACGATCCCGACGTCCAATTTTTGTCCAACGAAGCACTCCGAGGCTCCTTGGGACCTCACCAACACATCTACAAGCTTCAAAAGCCCAAAAACTCAATGTACAAATCTTGCATGAACAGTACTCAATTCGGCCATTGATGAAACGACGTGAAAACGAAGTGTTTCTCACCTGAAAAGGGTATGGCTGAGCTCGTCTCAACCTCACGAGTCGAATGGTGTAGTTGGTTCCTTCGATCTGCTACGGTTTAATGGTCCTTGGTCTGTGTCCGTACGTTTACAGGGGAAGTGGAAGCTCGGGGGAGAGAAAGAGAGACACAGGAGAGAGAGGTAGAGGGAAAGGGAAGGGCAGAGAGTGTGCAGGTGTGTGTGTGGCCCAACACATGCCACAACACACAAAACAACCCCACAACGTGACGAAAAACACACTAGGGGCAAAATTGTAATTCCACGCGTACGTGTTAATAATCCCGGGACGGGATGTCACAAAATGGGCCGTTGGTTAATCCAACAGTCCAGGTTCAAATTTTTTTTTTTTTTTAGTTTTATATTTATGTATTTATTGAATCCAACGGCTTAGATTGAATATATTTAAATATAACGGTAAAAAAAAGATCTAATGGTCCAAATTTAAATCCAACGGCTAGAATAATTTTAAAAAATATTTAACTTACAATTCAACCAAAAATTCTATAAATACCTATGTATTTGTTCAAACATCCACACAAAACTCACTTTTCTCCTACAATTCTTCCAATTTTTCTTTATACCATTTCTTCTCATTTCCAGAATTTTCAAGATGGCAAAAGAGCATGTTAGAGGTCGTAATTGGACATTTGACTAAGATATTGCTTTATGTTTGGCATGGATTTCGGTTAGCGAAGATGGTGCCGTCGGCACCAATCAAAATAGAAAGGTTTTGTGGGGTAAAATCGTTGATAAGTTCCATGAAAATTCCAACGCCGGTCGAAGGGAAGTTGGTGGTGTTTATGATCGGTGGAAGATTATCAACAAAGTGTGCACTTTGTGGAAGGGAAGCTTGGAGAGAACCATGGTTGACATGCCTAGTGGAAGGGGCGCCTCAGAAATTGTGAGTTTCTTTGTTGATATTTTAGTTGTCATGTACATAATACATAATAGTATTTTGCAACTAATTGTTTTTATGTATTTATTGCATAGGGTGACAAAGTAATGACAATTTACAAGACAAGAACTACACCAAAAAATCAAGTTTTTAAGTTGCATCATGCTTGGAACATCATCAAGGATTGTCCGAGATGGGGAACCGATGTGAATCAACAATGTGGAAGATTATTTCATAATGAAGCCCCACCCCCAAATGATCTCAATGAAGGTGTGAATTTTGCCGACAATGAAGGTGTTGACCAAATGAGCCCAACTTCTTCTTTTCCAAGGCCCCTCGATAGAGATAAGCAAAAGGAAGCAAAGAGAAAAGGGAAGTCCCAAGATCCGATATGTGCACAATTTGCTGGCGAAATGGCAAGAATGAACGAAAACCAGTGTTATCGGCAAGAAGAATCGGTCCAAATGTTTTTGGCCATGAAGGAAGAAGGGGATAGGGAGCAAGAAAGGTATGAAACTAATTTGATCATGGAGGACCTCGACAAATACACTCCAGAGAGGAAGAAATACTTACGTGGTAAGCAAAAGGAAATTTTACGAAGGAATGCCACAAGGATATTTCAAGATGATGATTCATCTCAAGACTATCACCCAAGTCCATCACCAAGTCAAGATGGTGGATATCATTATTAAGTGTATGTAGTCTATGAGTTTTCGATTGTATTAAGTTTATGTGGTCTATTAATTGTCTTTTTTTTTTTTTTTGAGTTTATGTGGTTTATCATGATTTTCATGTATTGATTTAATGATTTTTCAAAATTTATCGGAATTTAAATATTTTTAGGTTAAAATGTTTATAAAATTAATTTAGAAAAAAATTAGCCTTAATTCATTCTTTGATAATCTGGGGCTAAAATTTTAGGCTAGTAGGGTTGGAGTAGAAAAACTGTTTTTGGGCTAAAACCTAAATTTTTTGGGCTAAATAATTTTATATTTTAGGTCACCATTGGAGATGGTCTTAGAGCCGTAACTAGTGTAGCGTACTTTTGGGGAGTTTTTTTAGTGTGTCGGGACACTCACTTTGTTGGAAACAAAACAAAAAAAAATATAATTGATTGTATTATTTTTCAAGAAACGTACGATATTTATTGATTAATGAAAGAAGAACACGTATAAAAAATGACAAGGTATATAAAGTGAGTATCAATAAAAATCTTACCGAAAATTTCTAATTAATCGTATTATTAAACTTAGTGTATCGGGTCAAATTCCCATAGGTTGAAAATTTTCTGCTAGTTATTATAGTTGTGTGACTAATTATTAATGAATTGTGACAAATTAACCAAGTTATTAACTAAGTTGGGTGGATAGTGGATTTTTTTTTGCTCGGGTAGGAGGAGAATGCACCTTGCACCGGGTTTTACTTCTTGTATGATTAAAGTGAGGAGTGAGATAGGCACGCTGTAAATATATATCAAGTGATGTAATGACATGTAAGTTTATTAACACTGGTTAATAAATAACAAAAATCACAAAGAAATCATACACAAAATGAGTGCAGCGGGTTTACACTCAGTCAAATGGAACCAGTAGCTAGGTCAAAGTCTTCATTTACCCTGTGCATTATAATTAAATCAGAGTCTGAAGCGATCCCAAATCCCAATGAAATTTCAATAAGATGATTAATATTTTTATTTATATTTCTGGAAAATTTCTTCACACGCAGAAATCACGTTGATGAAGACATGTGCCGGGAATTTATGTTAGGGAGGAGGGTGGTGTTAGTTGGCATTCAATGACCGCCAGCCAGTCCAGCCCACTCTATTTCAAGAGGAACATAAACGTACCATAATGAAAAAAGGGGTCATTTTATGGCCACTCGAAATCGGTATATCTCTTTTGTTACATGATTATCAATTATACGACGGAAGCAATCAAGAGAACGAGTTATATTCCCGAATGTACAACGGAATCTCTCTACTTAACACTGCATGTATTTTGATGCCAACATTTATTGGTTTCTAATGGTCTTCAAACTTGAAAATGACTACACATGACACCGAGTCAAGGACAATAATTTCGCGATGCACTGAAGTTGCGAGCAAATTAAGGTGTCGATATTTCCAACTATATCGAAACCATCATTGTCAATGTAAAATATTTTGACAAATTTTTGTCTTTAAATTACAAATTTATTTTCCTCATTTTATGTCACATGTATGACAAATTCTTCCACAAAAAACATAATTCATATGATTTACGAACACCGATGTACCCTATAATCCACATTGATGGGGCATTTTAGCCAAAATGGTATCTGATAACTCTTTACTTTGATTTTTGATATTTGAAATCGATAGAAGTGGTCCATGAGTTTGTCCAATGTCAATCATTTTAATTATTACGTGAAAATCTCTGTTAAATTTAAATAGACCTAAATGACAAAGACCCTCAATTTAATAAACAATTGGGCAAAATAATTTGACAAAAATTGAGGGTATATTTGTCATTTTGGTCCTTAGTTAACAAAGATTTTTCACGGAATGAACAAAATAATTGACGGTAGACAAACTTAAGAATCACTTCTATCGATTTCAAATCTTATGAACCAAAATGAAAAGTTATGCCAATCGAAACCATTTTTGCTAAAAAACTTAAAACAAAATAAACTAGAGAAACAAAACAATTATTGAGTTTTTATTTTCATAATGTATCATGGGTCAGAATGATTTGACCCGGATCCAGAATCTCCTTCACAACAAGATTTCTAGCCCTGTTAATGGTCATGAAACACAAATACAAATGCTCCTCTAGCTCATCAAGCTGCTGCCTAAAGCTACAGTCATTTTTCTTCAGCTGGCGCGCCAGTTCTCCTCCGGCTTGGCTCCAATCCTCCTCCCCACGCTCCACCCAAAACTTGACCATGCGACGCATGTGCTCAAGCTCATCGTTTAGCCGAGCCACGAGTCGGCTCACGGTCTCCAAATCCCTGTTTAGTATGTAAGTTCCTTTCGTGGCGGCGTCGAGCTGAGATGTCATCTTAATCAGCCTTTTCGGCGAAGCCAAGTCAAACGAAGCTGCTAGAAAAGCCGGCATTGCCACAACTAGCGCAATAGCATGCGTGACAACTATTACGCTCAACGAAGCCGTTAACGCGACTAAGAAAATGGTTGAGCCGGCTCGAAGCTTTTTTACGAGTCGGAGCTTGGCTCGAGCCTTGTCACGAGTTGACTCAAGTCGTTTCAGCAAGTTAGAGCATCCGACTTGAGTGGCTTGGATGCGAATTAGAGATAAAATCGGGGTGAATCTGGTTAGACGAGTTAGTGTTTTAGGGGTAGAATGGTCATTTAAGGATTGTAAGGTGGATTTGATGGACTGATATTTGACACGTGTACGATTGATGTCATTTAGTAGGAGGCCACATAGGATGGAAGCATCGGCGGTTTGAGTGAAATAGTCAGATAAAAGTACGTGGTTGATCGGGTGGTTGCAAATCAACGATAAGATCCGAGTAACCATGGGTTGATCCGGATCCAATAGATGCTCCGCGAAGAGCCGATAGGATGGGAGCCGAGCTGCGGTAGTCGACTCCATCGACTTGCACGCCGGTTTAGTGGATTCACTATTGGATAATGCAACGACACGTGTCCAAAAGTCGAGGTATGATTCGGTGCGGAAAGCATTAGCATATTCTTCTGTAACATCCACTCCCATTGAAGCAGTTGATGTAGTGGGCCTAGATCCTGCATCAAAATAGTAGTTATATCAGAAATTCAGCCCAACCCAATACTCATTGTGACTAGATTACAAATCCAACGTTGTTGTAAGAACTTCAAAATGGTAATTGTGTTTAAGGTGCTAATAACAATTCTTAAGATGATTACCGGTAAATGGAATAAATTTTCGGATGCATGTACTCATTCTTTTACCCATTCCGCCTCGTCAGATTGTGAAATTGAATGATGTAAAGTACGTAACGAGCTTGTAACTCAACTGATCAATATAATTTATCTTTGCACTCAAAGTCCTGTCTTCGGACAAAGCTTCCCAGTAATGCTTGTCTGAAAGATTGAAAGGATGAAGCTGTGAATGCAGGGATTGTAATTTGTAAGCAGCAGTGGAAAATGATATGAAGGAAAGGGAAGAGAGAAAGGAGGGGGATTTTATATTTGGGGTTTGGTCTTGCTTGTAAGAAACAAAGGGTGATAAGGGCGTGTAGAATTTCAATCCGGCCCTTGCAGTGCACGTGAAGGCTCATAAGAATTGTTTAGAAGCTTAGCAAGGACAACAACGTGTAGAATTTTCTTCCAATCCTTACTTAAAATTATGTTACAACAATCAGCAACGCAACTATAAATTTTCTTTGGTTGGGACGACTTTAACCTTCAATTATACTTGAGAAAACAAAATTCCTAATGGTAGAATTTCTTCTATAATTTCATTACTTTTCTTGTTATTCTCAATTTTTATCAAGCCAAATTGTCGACATTTTTTCATAATGATAGCTTATTATACATATTATTTGAACTTTCAACTAATCACTTAAAGTACTTAAATACGATAAATTCAAGTTCTGTAACCATCATGATTTTTTTTCCTATGCACAAAGCTTCAATTGGGGCAGCTGCCCCACTGGACCTTAGCTGCCTTCGTCCTAGACTATGTAGAATTTTCTTCCAATCTTTCTTCAAATTATTTGGCATTACGTGAGTTTTTAGTTTTCTATCAACGGGGCAAATACGTACTTGAGATGTATTCCGTCATTGACAATCTAACAATAGATTAAGAGCTAAATCTGACACCATGGTGGACCAATCATATTCATAGGTGATGGAGAAGGGAGGCCAAATATTGGTATATTGTTTTTTTATATTTTAAAAAGGAATTTCATATTGTATAAAAAATAGAAAAAAGAAAGAAAGAAGGAAATTCCACATCCTACATCGACTGCCCTGAATAGATGCCAATCTGATGCCCTAAGGTCAGCATGTTGAGTGTACGTCAAACAGAATGGGCTTATAAGACATGCCTAGATAAAACACCATGTATTTCTAATACTATTACGACGCACAAAACCAATTTTATGTTTTTTTTTAATAAAAGTGAACCCTATGCATAATTAGTAAACATCTATTAGAGAATGTATCGGAACAGTGTGGTTTGCGTAAGTAATAATTTTTACACTCTCGCAAAGTAACGTGTCCCGCTATATTAAGAACACAATTAGACTTTACAAACTGACCCCTTACTTATGAGAATAGTCTAATAATCTAAAATAGGTTGACATGTGTAAAATAAATAAATTTAAAAATAAAATATATATGATTGGTTCGGTTTAATTTTGATCAGTTTTAAAATTATCAAAAACGAACCAAACCAAATATAAGACAATTCAGTTCAATTTTTGAATTATATGACTTTTTCCTTGATCAAAATGAAACCAAATTGACCAATATAATTCGAATAGGTTGGTTGAGTCCGTTTGATGCCCATCCTAGACTTGATACCATTCTTTTTCTTTATGCCGCATGCGCATCGCACCATATTCTGACGCTCTCAACTCATCCTATAACACGCTTCTCACACGCTTGTGAAAAAACGCACAAATATCTTGACGCTTTTGGCTCCAAGAAGATCTTATCTGGATTCACTTTGTGAGAATATTAGAGATTCTCACATTTTAATCGTTCATCGTACATCGTGCGATCATTTTTCGTCAGATACTATTTGTCTTTAATTTTAAATAAAATCAAATGATTTCTGTGAGAATCCCTAAGATTTCACAATTTGAATCCGGATGAGATCCAAATCCGTTTTTTTTAATAAAAGTGAACCCTATGCATAATTAGTAAACATCTATTAGAGAATGTATCGGAACAGTGTGGTTCACGTAAGTAATAATTTTTACACTCTCGCAAAGTAACGTGTCCCGCTATATTAAGAACACAATCAGACTTTACAAACTGACCCCTTACTTATGAGAATAGTCTAATAATCTAAAATAGGTTGACATGTGTAAAATAAATAAATTTAAAAATAAAATATATATGATCGGTTTGGTTTAATTTTGATCAGTTTTAAAATTATCAAAAACGAACCAAACCAAATATAAGACAATTCAGTTCAAATTTTAAATTATATGACTTTTTCCTCGATCGAAATCAAACCAAATTGATCAATATAATTCGAAAAGGTTGGTTGAGTCGGTTTGATTCCCATCCTAGACTTGATACCATTCTTTTTCTTTATGCCGCATGCGCATCGCACCATATTCTCAACTCATCCTATAACACGCTTATGAAAAAACGCACAATTATCCTGACGCTTTTGGCTCTAAGAAGATCTTCTCCGGATTTACTTTGTGAGGATTTTAGGAATTCTCACATTTTAATTGTTTATTGTACATTGTGAGACCAATTTTCGTCAGATACTATTTGTATTTAATTTTAAATAAAATCAAATGATTTCTGTCCGCATGATTTCTGTCCGCACGATAAATAAATAAGATGAGACCCAAATCCCTTTTTGTTGGCTTAACGTGTCGCACGCACTTTGTTAGTAACGTACGCATTTTCGACTTGGATTACCATCATGTCCCATTCGATATCATAAATTTCAATTCAATCGCCCAATAATATGATTCCTTTCATTTTTCTCAATGCAAAAACAAAAATAAAAAGCAAAATAAAATACAAATTAATTAAAAAGCATCGCCTGCTAGCCACGCTACGACTAACAACTGGATATCGGAAACTTCAGTCTCTCGAAACATCGGAAAACAACGGAACAGCCTAGTAGTCATCGTCGTCGTACTGATCATCCTCCACTTTCTCAGCAGCGTCATCTGCAATTTTGTCCTCCATGTATTCAAAACCCTCCGCCAATGCCAGCCCACCCAGCACCCCAGCCACCGCTCCCACCGCCACTCCTGTCCCCATCCCCCCAAACTTGCTCTTCTTCTTCTCTTCCTGTCCGTACGATCCCTGCCCGTAACTCCCCTGTCCGGTCTGACCGTAAGGAGCCGGCTGACCGTACGGCGGCGGATCAGCATTGTACCCGTTATATGGGTAATCAGACGGCGGAGCAGCTGCGTAGTAAGGATTGTACGGCGCCGGAGGAGCAGGTGCGCCGTATGGTACCCCGTAAGTCGGAGGAGGAGCCGGCAAATCCCGCGAGCCAGCTGGCGGCGGGACACCGTAAGGCGGCGCGTAGTAGGGATCCGCTACACGAGGGCGTGGCTTCCTAATAGTAACCTTAACGTCAACCTTCCCGTGGGGCCTACCGGATGGTCGCTTGAGATGGAGAGTGCGGCTGGCGCGCTCGTCGAAGCCCACGTCATCGAGGACCTCGCGGAGTTTGAGCCGGGCCGACCCGATCAGGGGCTTGGTGTCCCGGTCGGATCCGGCGTGGACGATGTCGATGTGGAGAGTGGTGTCGCCGTCGACGGGGCCGGGTAAGGGGATGGTGAGGGTCTCGTCCCAGTAGGGTGACGTGTCGCCCTCCTCGTCGACGCGGCTGGAGCATTTTCTCTTGGGGTCCACCCAAACGACGGCGTAGGGCTTGACGCCCCCGTTTCGCCAGTTCACGTTCTTAAGGTCGTGGGCGGAGGTCAGCTTCACTTGAACTTCGTGACCGGACGCCATTGGTCGGTGATGATCGAGTGGTTTTCTGAGTGTTTTGTGGGTTGCGTATGGGGAAATATGGGCGGGTGTTATATATAGGTGGAAGGGGGGGAGAGTATTTGAGAAGCGAGAGTACCGTTCTGCCCTTGATAATGGTAATCAGAGTGTTTGGTGGGAGGGTATTTCAGTAAAAGAAAAAATAAGGATAGATTAAGTATATATCCGGGGAAGAATATAAGGGACTAAGCATATGTGAGGGAGGAAAATGCCAACTTTTGGCGGGAGTATCTGAGGCAGTGCTGTTTGGATGCTCTAATTAAATGCCTTTGCTTGAAAGGACCGAGGTTGGATATGGGACAAGTGTGAACACCAAATTGCAGGCGGAGGAGGGAGTTTTGGCACGGCAGATCTCAACTCCTCGGATATATTTTTCAATGTGACCGGCATAAGAAGTGGTATACCATATGTTACTATATAAATGGTGGGATATGTATGTTAAAAAGTTAATAACTTAAAAAATGAAATTTCTCACCACTTACATGATGTACCACCTGTATTCCCGTCACTATAAAAAATTTCTCCCTAGATTAGATTGGATGTCTTAAGTTGTCCTCCATTTGGAGGGTGGGAAAAAAAAAAAAACTCAAAATTTTTGGGTCCAATAATCATCTCAAAGGTATGTATTTCTTTTAACAAATGATATTATCTATTTTAAGGAGGTGGGCGAATGGGCTAAGTCTCACAATGAGCCAGCAATAATGAGGTCAAAATAGAGGACTTGGATCCTCTCCTGAGCCCAAGAAGATGATCCTCCTGACCAAAGGACTTGGATCGTTGGATGAAAATCCAACGGCTATAATTATTATAACTTTAAAAAAAATCCCTGTTTATAGCTGTTGGATTTTCATCCAACGATCCAAGTTATTTTGTCAGAAGGATTGTCTGCTTGGGCTCAGAAGAGGATCCAAGTCTCAAAAGAGGGCTCCCAGCAACAATGCTCCATCTTGTGAAACCAGGCCACGCAGGCCCCACGCAACAGCATCAAGTTGGCAAAGGAATCCTCTACGGGTGAGCACATAGCAGGCACTTTACCTACGACCTAGATGCACCCGCAGTTCAAATCCAGTGGTTCAAATTCAATTTTTCTCACAACTCAAGTTTAAATCCAGCGCCCAGATAAATCCGTTTTAAATTCAACGACTCAAATTCAATTTAATTAATTTTAACGATAATAAAAAAATATCCCATGAATCAAGTATAAATCTAATAAAAAAAATTATTAAACTTCTCCAAAAATCTATAAATACATATCCATTTGTTCATTAATCCATTAGAAAATTCAATTTTCTCAACAATTTTTTTTTTCAGATCATAATTTTTTTTTTTTACATCAAAATATTTGTAAAAAATAAAACAAGTATTGGCCCCAAAAAAAAAAAAATCAACGAAATATAAATGTTTAACAAATTATAAAGTGTGGGACCGGGGTTTTGGGGGGGGGGGGGTTGGGATGGTTTGGAAATTATAGGTCCTTACCGTTGGATAAAAAAACTACCCAACCTCATACATATATATATGAATAGTTAAAAATACGGCTAAAAATAAAATTTTAGCCCTTTGTATTGAAGATGGCCTTACGTCGAGAATCTCGAGATGGTTCAAAACTTCACATTAGACTCAGATGGCCTTCCAGATGTTCGGTTTAATTAGGCACCATCTTTGCTCAGTTCAAAGATAGTATTCGGCCCACCCGACGGAGATAGATTAAGTCAAATCAGAATATGGAAAAGTTGTTTGGCCCATGTTATAATTACCGCACAGTAATTACCAACATCAAAACCCTAAATCCTAAAACGCAAACATTATAAAGTGCCTGCAGCCTCCCTCGTAAACCCACTTCGCCTCTCACTCTCGCAGATAAACCCTAGCAACGCGGGGTACCCCTGAGCTCTCTCTACTCTCGCAGCGATGGCTCCTCCTCGAGGTAATTGAGAAAAATAAGCTTACCCCTCTTTGTAATCATCGTCTGTTTCTTTGTAAATTGTATGAAAATATGCATTTTTATTTGGGTTTTCTGGTATCTGGATGTTTTGATTTCTTTTTCTTCTGTTCCTGCTGAAAATATTGTCGATTTTTGTTCTTGGGTTAATTTGTTTTCGACAAAATCACATGAAATTTCAGTTCTTTACTATTTCCCTTCGTTTTTATCCGCAGTTTCTGTGTTGGATTTACTTTGTGTTTAAGGTTGTTATTGTTTAGATGTTTTAGCAGAAGTCAATGTAATTTGGTTTGTTTTATTCTATGTATGCTGCAAAGTGTGTTGATTTTTGTGTTTGGGTACTTTGGTTTCGACCAAGTCGATAAAAATTTCAGCTGTTTACCCTTCTGTGTCGATTTTATGGGTACTTTTTATTGTTTTTACTTTTAGTGTTTAAGATTGTTACAAGATTTGGCAGAAGTCCTTATAAGTTTTTTAGGTTTTGTTCAGGTCGTGGTGGTAGTGGTGGATTCAGGGGCGGTAGGGGTGACAGAGGTGGAAGAAGTGGAGGTAGGTCTGGTGGTGGTAGAGGTTTTGACAGAGGTGGTAGTGGCTTTAAATCCCGTGGGCGTAGTGATCGCGGACGTGGTGATCGCGGAAGAGGCCGTGGGAGAGGAGGAATGAAGGGTGGTAACAAAGTGGTGGTTGAGCCTCACAGACATGAAGGTGTTTTCATTGGTAAGGGTAAAGAAGATGCTCTTGTTACCAAGAATCTTGTTCCTGGTGAAGCTGTCTACAATGAGAAGAGGATTTCTGTTCAGGTGGGTTTCAATCATTTGCTAATTTTATTAAAATATCTGCTTTGAATCCGAATAAACCAAGATTTAAGTGTTTTGTTCTTGCAAAATTATCTGTTTAATTGAAGTATCTAGACTAATTGCTTGTTCTTTATTTTTGTGGTATGTGAATGTAATCGATAGTTACCTTAAAAGTGCATTTTCTTTCATTCAGAATGAGGATGGAACAAAAGTTGAGTATAGGATTTGGAACCCTTTCCGTTCCAAGTTGGCTGCAGCCATTCTTGGTGGTGTTGATAATATATGGATTGTAAGTCTTGATTTCATGTATTCTTGCATTTTGTTTGATGTTCATCGTCAGTCCATAATCGTTTTTAAATATTTTATAACCGTCTGTTTAATGTAGAAACCTGGTGCTAAAGTTCTCTACCTCGGGGCTGCTTCTGGAACTACAGTCTCTCATGTGTCTGACATTGTTGGCCCTGTAAGTGTTCTTTCTGATTCAGTTTCTTCAAGCTCTTTGTATTTCTTCTCCGAGAATAGCTTCTTAGAATTACCTATTGTTTTTTGTAGACTGGAGTTGTCTATGCAGTTGAGTTCTCTCATAGAAGTGGCAGAGACTTGGTAAATATGGCTAAGAAGCGCACAAATGTCATACCCATTATTGAAGATGCCAGATATCCAGCTAAATATCGGATGCTTGTTGGCATGGTTGATGTGATATTCTCTGATGTTGCACAACCTGATCAGGTTTGTTTTTAGCAATTCATGTTTTTGCTAGTAAAAGAACCTCATTTTTCGAGTCTTTTTCTTATGGGTTATGAAAGATCAAGGATTTTCAAAGGGATTTGTTTTTACATTTAAAGATTAACTAGTTAACCTGACCTGTTTTGCTATAGAATTTTGCAATTAGCTGAGCTTGAAATTTTGTGTTAATTGAAAATCGCAAACTATTGGTGTTTATTTTTGTTAACTTCTCATATTTTTTTTCGCATATGATGAGATATACTCGGATTCCCCTTCACGACATCATGGATGATGTGAACTCGAGTTTCTGATGCGTACTTTGTTCTGCATCACACTCTGCATTTCTTTTTCTCCATAAATTTTGTTGGTATGTTTATGCTTTGTCATTCCTGCAAGTTCTAACATCTTTTTTTCTACTCGTTCTGATTTTTTGTTTTCATAAAACTTACATAATTTGGTTTGTTTCCTTCTTTTGCCTGTTGTGTGTTTTTTCGTAATTGTATTTTTAAAAGTTTTATCCTTTGCAATATATTGAGCATGTGACGAACAACTCGGATTCCCCTTCAAGACAATTATGGGTGATGCAAAGACCGAGTTTCTGATGCTCCTATACTTCAATATTTGATTTTGTAGTTTTAGTATATTTTTTTCCTAATGATTTCACCTCACGTCACCTCGCCAGCCCTTTTCTCCCCTACTTTTTCATTCTCTGGTGTTGCTTGGACCCTTATCACCAATGTTTCTGACGGTGTTGGTGTATTTGGCGGAAGTCCTTGAAGGCATGGCAGTACTTAGCCTTCAAATGTTAGTTGCTTCTGAATTATGTTCACTCGGTCTAAATATATAATGCAGGCTAGGATTGTTGCATTGAATGCATCATATTTTCTGAAAGCAGGAGGGCACTTTGTTATCTCAATCAAGGTTTGTTTCTAGAATTTTGCTGGACCGTATAAAACATGAAACCTTTGGCTGGGGAAATACCTCTCACTTCGGTTGGAAATTTTCCTTTTGCCCGCATGCTTCTTTGTTTTATAAATAAAATCTTGTCTTCAGGCCAATTGCATTGATTCAACATCACCCGCGGAAGCAGTGTTCCAATCAGAGGTCAAGAAGCTTCAGGAAGAGCAGTTCAAGCCTGCAGAACAAGTCACTCTTGAACCTTTTGAGCGCGACCATGCTTGCGTGGTTGGTGGCTATCGTATGCCGAAGAAGTCGAAAGCTGGCAACGCCTAGAAATTGTCCATGATCTGCCTGTATTGGGGAGGAGAAAAAGAACATTTCGTTTACAAAGTTTAAGAATGTAAACGTGGCTCTGTCCTTCCTTCGTATTTTATCTGGTTGCTTGTTAGATTTGTCTTTCGATGTAGTAGTTCTGAACAGTTCAAACGTTGTAGACATATTTGTTTTTTTATATAATGGTTTTATTTCGTACCTGCGTAAGTAAGCGGATAGAAATAATTTCTATCCGCCGACGCCTAATATTGCTTTGAGTGTATCTCAAAGCAAAGCTTGCAGATTGCAACTGCAACTGCGGGGTTTTGCGCCATCAACCCACTGCGGCTGTTGCTCCGGCTGCGTACTTGTAACGATACGGGCTATGCTTTCTCATCCTCTTTCTTGAAGAACAAACTCTTTACAAAAAGATTTTGGATGAAGAACACACTCTTCAAAACCAAATTGATATTAACAGATAAAAGACGAGCCAAGTTATATATTTGGAATTCAACAAACTATCTTCACTTTGTACGAATTCTTTCTCATGACTTGGTACTTACTGCTGTTTTACCTTTTTCAGTTATACTAGAGAAAATCAAACCATAAATTATTATAATCATAACTCATTACTTTAGAATTCACTACATGAGCTTAAGACTGTAACACTGTAATACTTGTAGAAAGTTCAGAAACCTACACTCACAAACCCGGAAAACAAAGTACACTCGCAAAGCCCGGAAAACAAAGTACACTCGCAAAGCCGAAAAACAAAAATAATAGAGAAAAAAATTCACATAAGAGTAAATTGAAACTAAACCTATCTTAATCCTAACTCATTATTCCACTCTCCTGCACACTTAGCTTAAGACGGTTACATTTTGATATTCGTAAGTCGACAGCCCTTTTATTTTTGTTTGATAAAAGTGAAGAGTGGTAGAATTTGAAACCTACACTCACAATCACAAAGGGAAAAAAAAAAAAAAGATAAGATAAGGAAATAAAATAACAAGAAAAAGATATGTCAGAAGTGGGATTTGAACCCACGCCCTCGTTAGAGGACCAGAACTTGAGTCTGGCGCCTTAGACCACTCGGCCATCCTGACTATCTTGCTAATTGGGCTTAACAAAATTTATTTATTTAAATTGTGTTTTTTTTTTCTTTAAATCGAAAGTATTTTTAGACTGGCACAACTAAATAACCGTAGAAAACAAACAACCTCCGTATTTTTAAATGAGAGAAGAGTCTCAAAAAAATAGCATGACTAAAATCAATGAGAACGTAACAAGTGATAATCTGAAGATTATTTTTCTTACAAATCCTTTTGGCCGAATTCGTCCAATTAAGTTTTCGAAGTGCTTTTTATGTAAGTATTTTTTTCTTTCTAATTTACTCATTTTATTTACCATATGTTCATATAAGTCTTTTTCATTTATGGTTTTCATGTAAGTCTTTTCCATTTATGGTCAGATTGGTTTTTGAAGCTTGGGTTTATAGACTGAGAACCAATAAAACATTTCTCTAATTGTGTTTTGGATTTTTCAGTAGGGTAATGTGTCCGTCGCTTTGTCAAAACCTGCTCTCAATCTCGAAATACTGTCTAGTGACAGTAACATTTAGACCAACTTTTGTTTACCTCGATTTCGATACATTATTGACGATGGAAAGACAGAAAAACATAACTCTTAAAATTTTATGGAAATTCAGAGTAACTACTTGAATTTGCAATTCATAGGTTAAAAAAAATGAAAAATCTGTACCGCTGGCAGGTAATTTCCTGGGTAGATAGTTTGAAAATTCTAACACAAAAAATTACAACTAAGCAAAGCTTAATTAGGAGATTTTTTGCACTCAATAGAAAACATGATTTCATACGCTAACAACAGCTATCTCCTCGTCGCCGTAGTCTTGCCCTGTCCACTTCTTCATCCGGTCCGTTGTTTGTTCAACCTGCCCCGAAAAGTAACGATTCAGTATAAATGTTTGTGCAAGAAGTGTTATTAGAAACACGTCAAACTTTTTATTAAGAATTCAGGTGCTTTTCTAGAAAAACACTTCTACAATCGAGAAGTGCTGTTAGAAAGCGCTTTTAAACCCTTCCGAAAGCAGTCTCAAAAGCACTTGATATAGATGCCTATAAGAGAATTTAACTTACCTCCTTGTTCCAGTTGGTTCTGTAAAGTACAATCATAAGCAGCAAGGTTTGAAGAGCAGTCCCGCATATCATGCCTCCCCAAATTCCCTACAATGGTGAAGAAATTTTGGGACTATGATTGTCGAAGCCATTCGAGGAAAGAAAAAAACCAGCTAGCCAGGCATCGAATCATTTAGTAGTGGAACTGAAACCAAAATGATTTACCTTTACTCCCCATTTTGCTACATAGCCAAGAAGGATACCGAGCGGGAGCCCGATAATGTAGTAACAACCCAAGTTTACATAAGCCACCAGTCCCTGCCATCCGCCTCCGATGGCAACACCTGAAGCATGAACCCAAAACAAAAAGTTACAAGGGGACGGGGTCAGAGATGGAGTAGAACGTACATGGTTATCAAACGGATCCTAAGTAACTCGATTATTACCCGAAATAACTGGTTGGACGCTATTGAGAAGCATAGTCACTCCGAGAAGAATTGCTAGATTGGAAACAGAATGTTGCAATTCCTCGTCGTTTGTGTACAGGACAGAAAAGTAGTCTTTGGTTATCAAGATCACAACCATGAAAACGATTCCGATGAGCAGAGACTGACCAACCGTCACGTAGACTGAATATTTAGCTGCTCTTGGACGTGCCAATCCAAGTTCGTTGGAGACCCGAACACTGAAAACGCGCGAGACAAATTAAAATCAGGTCCAGAACACCTTTAACTAATGCCTCAAATTGTTTCTTGCGTTACAAGATTGCACATATGAATCTTGGGCACTTACCTTATAGCAGCATTGATTCCAATGAACAACATTGCTTCCAAACCGTTGAAATTTAAGCTGAAACATCAATTGGTCGTGTAAAAAAACTGAGTAAAGTATCAGAATTCAAGTACCGAAACGAACGAAAATCACTGGTAAGAACACTGAGGGGGAGTTATGGCCTTACCAAATAGCGAGCGAGTCAATAGAAAGTACGGCATTACTAAGGTGGCCTGTAGCAAGGATAAGAGTCATCATATACCAAATCTCCAGGCAAAGCATCAAGGCGGACTCAAGTGAAAGCCGGACAAACGCCCATATGTCTTTGAACGCCAACCACGAAAACCCTGTCCACCCTTCCTTGCACCATTTCATTATGTAAATATTTTGAGCAATCACAATTACCCAACCTGTGATGCCAAATGCAATGCCTGCACCATATATACCCCAATCGAACACGTAAATGAAGAGAGAAAGCAATCCAATTTGTACAAGAAGCGAGATAAATCCAATCCATGCAAGCACGAGAACTTTGCTTTGAGCCTGAAGGAACTTCTGGGCAGGGAAGTTGAAGGCAAGGGAGAACAACTGCGGTATGCAATATATAGTGAATGTTCCAGCAAGATTAGCCACGTCGTCATCCTGCCCGAGAAGCTTCAAAATCGGGGCGGAGAAGATATAGATTGGCGTGAGGATAACACAGCTGGTGAACAGAATGATCCAAGATCTTTGCATGTAAACGCCGAGCATGTTAACATGTCCGGCCCCGAAGGCTTGGCCACAAAGCGTCTCTAACGCACTCCCCATGCCAAGCTACAAATTTTTGTACATAATATGCATTAGCTCCTTTAGTTGAATTTAATCATGCGGTATCAACATATTTACATTTTGCAATTACGTTTGATGCATAACGAAGCTTTTTATCAGAGTACTGATTTTTACTTTCGTTTTGCATTTCTCTTCTTGTTTATGTCCCTCGAGAAAAAGATAAGTGCAAAAGAGCAGTAACAATAATAGTAAAAAACAAAAGTGGGCTTTTACCATTTTATGCAAATTCAATTTAGGCTAACTACATTTACACCCTTAAAGTTTGAAATGATTTTCAAAATGGACTATGAGGTTTCAATTTTTTGAAATGGTATCCAAAAGTTTTGTAATTGTATTAATTTACATCTTTTGTTTATTTAAATCAAGAAAGGACGTAATTTTGACTTTTTACCTCTTTCTTTTCTTGTTTGAGGGAAATGAACAGATTAACCCTTTAATTAAATTAAAATAGTAAATAATAATTTCATTAGATTTTATAATTATTTAGATATAAACCATTGAATTAGATTTTTTTAAAGAAATTGATTTATCCAGTTCTGTGTCATGTATCTTCCTCTCAATCTCAATATCACGCACACAATTTTCATCTTTTCCTAGATTTTCTCAACTGTGAAACAAAGTATGAAATATCCAAATTTAAACAAGAAACACCGATAAAATATATAGATATTTGGTATATATATATATATATATATATATAATAACTTTGAGCAGTGGTACCTAACACTTAAGAAAAGAAGAAAAGCAATGCAGAAGAATGTAAAAGAAAAATACAAAGTAAAATTAAACAGAAAAAAAACGAAAAGTTAGAAATCTCAACCAGAAACATATATACAAATATAAATGTAAATATATATATATATATATATATATATATATTTTAAAATTTTTGAAGATCTGTACTTTAAGCAAGTGTTTAAAATATCCCCGAAATTGTGAAAAATTAAAGATCTAATTTCATCTATATTAGAAGGATATAGGAAAAACAATGAGTATCTACCGATATTTACCGATTCATTACATAAATTTTGCCAACTTTTGAATTTTTATGAGAAATTTATCTCTAATTTCGACTAAATCTAAATGAGTTGATACACTCATCTCCTTACAAATTTTCATAATTTCCTTCGACCAACTAATATTGATGTATCTAATGATATTTTCAGAAATTTACATATTGATATTTTCACCAATATTTTAAACCATGCTTTAAACACATAAAAAGACGCTACTTCCATGTTTTGAAATGTGAAACAATGAATGTAGACGCGAGTTAGTCTGATTCCGTATCGGAATCCTACGTCTGAATTTGAATGTCCCTCCCCGTAAATTAAATCATTTAAAATCGAATACCGCATTTTAAAACTAATGAAATGTAAATGAAAGCTGAAAATTATGAAAGGAAATTACCATGAAGCCGAATGAGAAGGTGCAGATGACGGAGAGAGAGATGGAAACGGCGGAGAGCTGGAGGTTTCCGAGATGGCCGACAAACATGGTGGTAGCTGTGTTGTTGCCAAAGTTGCAGATGATAGTGAAGGCGATGGGCCCCGCAATCTTCCACAGCTTCTTGGTTTCATTCCACGCCACCGACCGAGCATCCCTGAAGTTCCTCACCGGCTCGTAGTCATGGAACTCGCCGCCGTTCACTGCGGGAAGCAATGGCGTCTCCATTTGCGTCTGTAGTTGTTGCAGGGACACGTGTACGGACCTGACGAAACTGGAGGTCGCTGCCTACCGGAGAAGATGGTGGTTTTGGGTGTTTGGTTTGGTTTGGTTTAGGTTTGGTAGTGGAAAATGGAAATGCGAAGTGTTGAGGTTTCTGCGTTACTTATATACTTATTAAAAGCTGCATGCTCTTCATATTGCTTTGCTTTTGACTTTTCAAAACAAACTTCCTTTGTGACAAAGAGTTCAAGGAGACTTGAAGAGTCTCATTCTCAGAGAATCTCGTTGGAATTTCACTTCTTGTTATCGTTACAAAATTACAAGTATGATATTTGGATTATTGTCAACAAATTAATAAATAACTACCAGATAAGGATACATACAATTATCCAATAACTAAAAAATAAATTTAGAATTGAAGTTATATTAACTAAAAATGATGTGACTTAAATAAATTGAAAAATAACGTGTCAAGTGTGGAGCTAAAAATCACAAAATTACTCTCGATGCACATCAGAATTTCCACGCGCATGCAACGGACAATAATGGCTCAATCAAGGAAGAGTCAAAGGTGATCAAAATGCTATTTATTCAAATCCCTCTCATCATTCCTCATCAAATCCTTATTCAAAAGGTAACTCTCAAATTTCCTATTTAAATTATGATTAATTGCAATATATTATTTCACATAATATCTTGCAATTATTCATCCAATTACACCATATATGGCCGACCACTATTCTCCAAATAGGGTCGGCCACTCTTCTATAAATAGCCTTATTATTCCTCTAAAAAGCTAAGTCAATTACTATCCACAAACTCATAAACACATTTTTTTCATAATTCTAAATTTGGGCATCAAAGATTCTTCTGCTAAAGCCTTCTATTCATCGTGGACTCGTGAGGCTTTTGGCCTTAATCTTAAGTGTTATTATTTTGCAAGTACATTTTCATCAAAGGAGAAAGACGACGAAAATTTGCATCTACATCAAGCACATCAAAAATTAATAAGAATGTGTGTAAAGTAAAAATTATTCTTTTTTCGACATAAAATTCAAGTTGAGAAATCCTTTCACGCAACATTTCCTCTTGCGACCCCAATTAGGGCAAGGCTCGAACCTATCCAACTCTTTATTGATACTATTATATATTGTACACCTTCTCATAAAATAAAAAGGAAATTTAATCAAATTAATTAGCTACCTAATGCTTGGTCAAGTCTCCTTATCATGTCATAAGTCATCGGTGCTTCGTTGTCCACGAATGTCTCCTCTAGAAAAATTATATACATGACACGATCAATGCACGTCCATGACTCCATATATTCATAAAATACTACTCGCCTATAAAGGGAAAAAAAATGCTTTTTAGTCAAAATGATTCTTGATTGACATAACTACTCATTTGATTTTTGAAATTTAAAATTAATAGAAATAATGTATGAAATTGTTCACATCAATTATTTTGATCATTTTGTGAAAAATCTCCATTATATTAAAGAAACTACCCATTTAAGTAGAATGGTTGATTTGAAAAAAATACTCTTAATTTAAAGTAGACTTTTCACGAAAAAATCAAAATGGTTGACGATGGATATCTCAAGATTACTTCTTCGATTTTAAATCTCAATGAGGAGTTATGTCAATTTCAAAGACCATTTTAACCATTTTAACTAAAAAGCCAAAGGAAAAAAAATTGGATATCTGTTGCTAGATACTAGTCTTAATTCTTAATCATTCCTTATTATTACGAGTGAATCCTAAATCACAAAAAAGAATAGACATTGTATGTGCCTATAAGTAATTAGGCTACTCTTCGTATTATCTATTAATTTTATGGTAGAACATCAATTTTCTTCACTTATTAATTAATTTGTATCAATTACACCAACCCATTGTTTAGCAAAGTTTTTTTTTAGGTCGAAATTGTTTAGCGAAGTTGGTGGTGCGATGGTGTGGGATGAAATTCTGCTTGATCTTATCCAGGACGTTATCTTTTATAATTATATTTGTGTTTGAATTTCAGTTTCTAATATGGTCTTTATATCAAAATATAGAATATTTTAACTGATAGATAAGCTTATCCGTTCCTTATGAATTTGAACAGCGGCGGAGCCATATGGAGGCCACAATAGGCCATATGACTCATCTTGTAATTTCACCCGCTTATGTATATTGTGTGCCAGTTTGTACAATAAAGAGTATAAAGTCTAGTCGTTGAAATAGTTTACGTATTTTAGCGAGTCACATGTTTGAGACTTGCTTATCCCAACAATCTTCTGATTTTCTCCTATGGCAGCGACTCATTCTTTCGGAAAAATCAATGAAAATGCCTATGGATCAACTGCTAATTATATCGAAGCTTTTTGCTTAAGATCTCACACCCATTGTTATGTAGATGCAACTTAGTTATAAATTTGATTGGTAGTGGCTCGTTAAACCGCCTCTAGAATGTTACCAAAAACTCAAAAAGCTTAAAACCACAGTAAAACCTACACAATATCCTTGCTAGAAGAGGCGGAAACATGATGCAACAAGATTTTGTTACTGTGGGAAGGTTGATAGTTCTCGTTGTATTGGTAACCGCATAAGGTCTTCGAGGTAAACGAGTTGTGGTCAATGTAAGCGGAGAAGTCGGATAAACGATAAACTTGTAACCTAGAGAAAAAGGATTGATTTTGAGAAATGGAGACGAAAATCTCATCAGCTCGGAACCTGTTGGTCGTCTCATTGTGACCTTTTCGTTCTTTTTGGTCGGACTAGATGATTGAGTAGTGGAGGCGGAACGCCTCAACTTTGACGACAATAAGAACTCAATGTTGAAGAAGTACATAAAACATTGGCACATAAAGCCTCACATTACCCAAATAGACAGATACAAGTGCATGAGTTTTCTCTAATTTCATGATATATTTATCAGATACATATCTCGTCAGTTATTGTTTCTTGGCTTCTCCACTTCTTTATGCGCTTTGTTGTTTGCTCCACCTGCATTATAAACAAGAATTTCAATCACGAATCCAAATTATTTTAGTTGTTAGGATAGTGTGTTAGTCTCATTGCACTCGGGTTTGTATCCGTTGTAGGTAAATTAGAGTAGCGTAGAAGAGAATATCGCTATATACTGATGATTACCTCTCTGTCCCAGTTGGTTCTACAAGTCAGAATCAGCAAGAAGAAGATCTGAAGAGCATTTCCACTCATCATCCCACCCCAAAGTCACTATGCATCACATAAAATCTCTATTAACCAAAAACGAAAGATTAAATTAATTAAACTGAAATGAAAATTAATAGATAGGGGTAGGATTGTTTATTACCACAGCTCCCAGATCTACTTTGAAGCCAAGAAAGATTGCTAATGGGAGCCCAACCAAATAATAACTACCAAAATTTATATAAGCCACCATCACTTGCCATCCACCTCCAATAGCAACTCCTACAAAAAAATTGATCACCAATTAGGGCTACAAACTAAGTTAATAAGGAGACTAATTAACTCATCAGGAATACTAATTGGAAGGTTAAAACTTGTTGAAGCGATTAATACCTGTTAATACTTGTGTAGCACTGGTAAGAAGCATCGTTACACCAAGAAGGTAAGCTAAACGAGAAACGGCGAGTTGCATATATCCACTGCTGGTGAAAATCATGGCAAAGTAGTCTCTGCTTACGAAGATAGCAACCTGTTGGAAATTCAAATTAAAAGTCATGTGATCTGTCCATGTGATGCTAACCTTTCTTTACAGATTGTTTCCAGTAAAATATAATCATCATTGCTCCTTCCATGTTCAGCCGAATGGTGATGAAAGACAGCAAGTGTGCTGCCATGTGATGTGCTAGCAGGAAGACAGCAGTGTGCTGCTGTGTGCAAACCAAAAGGTTGTTATTACAACCTGCCATGATGCAATGCATGTGTATGCCAACTATCAAAGTTGCTGCATGTGTTTGAAAGGGTGTAAAGATGTGGAACACCATCATTCATTATATGTATTGTTGGATTGTTTATTTTTTCAGTTTTTGTATAAATAGACCATCTTGCTAAGCCTTAGAGCATATCATCCAAATCCCATTTCCCATTCTCATTTTCAGCTTGTAAGCTATTGAGTTTGTAAACTCTCTTTTCATATATTTAAGTGCAAGTGTTTTACCAAAGCTTGTTGCTTCCCTCCTTTCTCTATTTCTCTATTTCTCTATTTCTCTATTTCTTTCTTTGTCCAATTTTATTGAGAGTGAAAGTGAGAGGTGTGATAGAGTTTGTAAACTTATCACCCACATATTTTGGTATTGAGTTAGTAAACTTTAAAATACCAACACAACCATGGCTAAAGACCCAATGACGAGAGCTAGCAAGACTGCAACGCAGACGGAGTATTAGGCTGCTCTTGGACGCCCGTTCGTTCGAGACTCGTGTGCTATGTGCAGATGGTAGACCATTAACAATGTGATTCTAATTAGCAACACCAGAAAAATAGAATAGCATATTACTTGACACATAAAATAACAGCTAGTATTTACCTTACGGCAGCACTTATTCCAAGCAACAACATAATTTCCCAATTCTGAAAATTCATGCTGAAAGAAAAAGAAAAATGAAGCACTAAGCACCACCTCGTCACTTATTTAAGTCGTTTTCAAGGGATTATAATAAAGGGAATTTTAACGAAAAACTCCCGGTACTGGTCAATCTTGGTACTATTCACTTTACCCTTTATTTTGTCATTATAGTTAAAACTCAAAGTTTTCAAATCATTTTCATTAGTTTTCCTTATAATAAATTGTCTGCAAATGATTCTATCCGCAGCTTAGTAGAAATTGTAATAATCTTACCATATAGAAAAGGAACCAACAGAAATGACTGCATTTGGAAGCAGACCGGCGAGAATGCTTATACTCATCGGATACCATAAATCTAGGCAAACCATCATACAAGAAGCAAGTGACAGCTTAGCAAAATCCCAAATCTCTCGAAACGCCAACCGCGAAAATCCAGTCCACTCCTCTTTGCAGCAGACCATAACATAACCAACTTGACCAATTGCAACTCCCCAGTTTGTGATGTCATAAGCTACAGCCGCACCAGTTGTTCCCAAGCCAAACACATTAATGAAG